AAAAATATTAGAAATTGTTTGAATTGAATACTCCTGTTGCAAGTCTCAAGATTCCTACCCTTCTCGCCACTTGTCTCTTAAGTCTTTTTTAGTGAACTCAACACACATTGACTCCTCTGCTGGATCCATTTCAGCTGGAAGTCTTCCTTCAATAACAGCCCTGACTTCTGGGAAAAATTCCTTTAGCTTGTCAGATGGCTACAGAAGAAGAAATGACATGAATGTTTTGATATGATCAAAGTTTACCAATGAATATTTATTAATAATTAGGTGATTAATGAACTATATATACACATTATACAATATTTATCTGGCTATATACATACATGTACATGTGAAACTACAGCCAACAAGGCCAGTTATTTAATAGTAATATTTAAAACCAACTTCACACAGACTACAGCCCACACTCTACAAAATTATTCAACAAAAGCCTTACTTTTGTGTCTATTCCATTTTGAAGTCTTGCTAGTCTTTTTACATATAATGGCTTTGTGTCTTCCCTCACTGGTCCAGGATCTTCACCTAAATCTTCCAACTCCTTTTTTAATTGTCGACAACTCATATTCAGTAATGTGTCAGGTATGACAAGTGAGGTGTCACCGACTGTCGTCTCAAGGATACTGTACTCTTTCCAGTCGTACATAACTGTCTGATTTGACAAACTTTCATTGCAGCCAATGCAAGATGGTTCTTGATTTAAGCTGTGAAACAATTATTAACGATTATTAATTAATATTATTATCATCATTTGATATCACCATCATTACTGGTCAAATTTACTATAAATTAACAGATTGAGCAGAAAACAAAAGAAAAACAGGGCAAATTTCAATGCTTCAATATTTTTGATGCCTAGATTCAGCTGTGATTTGAATTTTAAATTACCTGTCACTACAACAATCCATATTTAGTTTTTCCATGTTACCAATGACAGTATCGTCAAGACCATCGTCATAGCATTTATCTATTGTCCATGGGTGAAGCTTTGGAAATGTAACTACAGTATTATCCAATGCACTAAAGGTCAAGTCACCCTCGCAGGCTGTATAGAAGCTTGTTGTCCCGGAAGAAAGGGTATCAGAACTGGACTCCTCTTCTTCTGTCATAAAATCTCTGGTAAACTCTGTTTCTTTTGTGGTTGGAGATTCATCATAAGTAATAGAATATGTAGAGTTCATCTCAGCGTTCGTTGGAGAAGCACTAAATTTGAAGTGTTTATCATCGTCTTGCAGTTTTCTTAATTTTGTATAARGAGTATCATCTTGRGGACTGTYATCTGTCAAGCATGCTTGAATACTCGGGTATAGCTTTTGGGTATCTTTTACTTCAAAGCTGTCTTGTTGACTGTTATCAAATGACGATATCTCTGTCAAGTAACCATCACCYAGAATAATTTTACTTAAATGTTGGACACAAAGCTCTGCCTGTGATTCGCTAGACTGATATGCATAGTCTAAAGCATTTAGACCATCWGCATCAGTGATTTGAGGGTCACCCTTGTATTTTAGTAGAATGCATAAGTTATCATAAATCCCCCAAATTGCAGCAAGGTGAACTGGAGTGATWCCTTCACAGGTYGGTACATTAGGTGATGCCCCATTCTTTAAGCACAACTCCAGCAACTCRCTGCAGTCTTCCCTTCCACTTAATAAATGGATAATCGATATTCCATAGTCTAGAATCTTGTCTCCTTTGGTTCCATTTTGTAAAAATAGTTTTGCTTTTCTGGAAAAAATATGGTTAAAGCATTAGGTCAAGCTTATACTTTCAGATCTCAAATGAATGCTTGAATAAGACCGTGATATGCAACATTACAGCTGTCTAGACTGTCTTTGCTTCTCATCGAGCTACTAATTATATAAATAAGTTGCCATACACTGCAAAACACTTGATAGGGGAATACAAGTACGGAAAATTAAAGAAACAAACCTGAAATTGTTCTCTTCAATAYAGTTCCAACAAACGTCTTCAAGCGACGACGACATTCATAGAAAAMATCGAATAAACCCGATTYGATCTTTGTCTTGGATACTGATTCTCAGATAAAGTGAATTAAAGAAGCACTAGCTTTATATTAAAACGTAAAAAGTGTAAAAACAGATTAAAATAGAGAATAAAATGTGTTTTTGTTGATAAAGAATTCGAACGGCRCGCGATTTTGGAGTTGTAACCAGGCTTCGGGTGGCTACAAAGCTATCAGCGAGTAACGCCTGGCAAAATACATCACGTGAATGTCAAAAGACAACTTTKAACTTTTCTTATTTTCCTCCAGGTTTTTTGAGATAAATTGAGAATTATGRTAAGAGAACTGGYACTTTGCGTGCTGTTTGCWKTCATAATCACTAGAGTTGGATCGTTCTCCCCTCCAAAGTATTCAACCTGCAACAAAAAGGATTTCGGACATGGCTCTTTTGTTTGTGTCTGCAATGAAGATGCATGTGATCATTTTGACGAAAGGGGGTCTTCTCCACTTAAGACTGGACAATTTGCAGTGTATACAAGCTCAAAGGATGGACAGAGATTTGATTTGAAATTAGGGATGTTTAATAAAAGTTCGAGTTCACGTTTAGAAAATGTTTTTAATTTGACAGTAGATGAATCAGTGACTTATCAAAGTATTCTTGGTTTTGGAGGTGCTTTTACTGGTAGGTATTGGCATAGTTTTGACAGATTTATATCCATAAAATTTCCAGTAAATGAACTTATTTCCTATATCATCAGATGCAGCCACAATTAACATTTTGAACATCAGTAAAACCCTGCAAGAAAAACTCCTCCAGTCCTACTATTCTACATCTGGAATTGAATATAACATTGGACGCATCCCTATGGCAAGCTGTGACTTCTCCACAAGAGAGTACTCCTATGATGACTTTAATGGTGACTTTGAACTGAGCAACTTTTCTTTAGCTAATGAAGATCTGCAGTTTAAAATTCCTGTTATGAAGTCAGCCATTGAAATGAGTGGAAAACAAGACATTTTGTTTTTTGGAAGTCCATGGTCTGCTCCATCATGGATGAAAACAAATGGGAAGATGACAGGTAGAATGACTTTTCTTGCCTTTACACCTCTTGGTACAGACTTCTGTTAAGCACCTTTCTTCTCCGTCTCCAGCTGATAATGCTTATAGCAGAAGCCTCATATGCCACAATTTGGGACAATAATGCTAGTTGCATCATAATGATAGAGTGAAGTCTTGAATAGAAAACCTATTCATAAATTACTAGCAATTCATAATTTTTTACATATTGATAGGTTTTGGTCAACTCAAAGGAAAACCAGGGGATGAGTATCATAAGACCTGGGCAATGTATTTTGCTAAGTTCATCAAAGCTTATGAGGACAARGGAATTAAGTTATGGGGGATCACTGTGCAGAATGAGCCATCTGATGGATTTCTTCCAGGGTAACTGTACTGTCACAATCATTATAAATCTATAAATTAACTACTTGTCCGTATGAGCCATCAATTTCACTTCCATTTATTCAMTTYCATTTTTTTCCTTTTSATTTYGWATAGCTTTARATTCCAATGTATGGGATTCAGTCCTGAAGCTGAGCGTGATTTTATCAAGMTTGACTTGGGACCAACTCTAGCACAGCAAGGTTATAAAGAYGTCAAGGTCATGATGTTAGATGACCAAAGATTGTTTGTTAATCACTGGTCTAAAACCATACTTARYGATCCTGATGCAGCTAAATATGTGTCAGGAATAGCAGTCCATTGGTATTGGGACTGGTTAGCTCCTGCTTCAGACCTCACACAAGCACATAACAGGTAAGACTTATATTAATTTGTATTTCTTATTCTGATTGTTATTTGGACAGAAATGGAAGCATCAGCCACAAAAGGAGGCATCCAACAACCCATTTTTTATTTGACCAATTTAACACACTGTGATAACTGCTGTATGATTATTTGTAGTTTTCCAGATTATTTTATGCTGGCAACAGAAGCTTGTGTAGATTCGTCCTTGATCAGTAACAAATTCTCCAAAAATGCTGTGGCTCTTGGAGACTGGAGCAGAGGGGAGAGATACAGCAATAGCATTATTGAGGTAATCACAACCTGAACTTTTAATGGCTAGGAGATTATAAATATCATTGAATTGTTCCTGTATAGTTAACTTACTATAAAATTTATCCGCTCGATACACTTGATACAAACTCGATTCACATATTGTACTAATACTGGTGTGCTTCAAGTGTATCGAATGTGTATCGAGCGGATGAAATGTACACTACTTAGATTATGAGTCTAAGATATGGCCTTTCTGACATGTTTTATCCTCAGGACCTATCCCATTGGGTAGTCGGCTGGGTTGACTGGAACATTGCTCTCAACATGGTCGGAGGACCAAACTGGGTAGAAAACTTTGTAGACTCTCCTATTATTGTTGATTCAGCAAACAAAGTTTTTTATAAGCAGGTAAACTTTGTAAAGTTTTCTTTGGCTTTCTTTTCCTCTTTTTTACCTAGATGTCATTTCTATTTTCAKTTACTTTTYTTTCATTGCACATTTTTCACCTTTCCACTCATTTTTTCCCTTTTTAAACTCACATTCTTTTCTGTTGTTTTCAGCCATTGTACTTCCATCTCGGTCACTTTGCAAAGTTTGTTCCWCGAGGATCTAARAGAATTGCTGTTAAATYTTCTGAAAAATTGCCACTGGAATTCATTGGATTTCTTACCCCTGACTCTAGTGTAGTATTAGTTGTTTTAAATAGGGAAGAGAAACCTGTAGATATTGACATAGTAGACCCAAGTCTTGGTTTGATAAGTGCTGTAGTCCCAGCATCATCCATACAGACATACATATGGGATAAGCCTGCAATCTGAAATGTGTCGTTTGATATAATTTTGATAAATTTTGAAACAATATTCAGTTTTTTTCTAGCACAGTATGTAAATTTTTTAAACGAAGAAAAATAGAAATAATTTCAACAAGAAAATAAAAGAATGAACAAAAATAAATTCTATCTACACAGGGATACCAATTCGCATGAATGTTCATCATAACGTCATCTCACGTGGAAACGAGGCTTTTAAGAACGAGAACATTTTGTTGCATTTTCTTGATTTCTTTGTTATTGAGAAGACAAAATAGAAAAAATTRCCGCAGCATGGAATCCAGAGAACCAGATTCAAAAGTAGATATCGTTAAAGAAGTTGCCAGCGCYTTAGAAGAAGAGGAATTTMTCAAAGCTGAYACTCAAACCGCCACTAAAGTTACACCAACAAAACCAAYSACTTCTTTACCAAACAAACAACCTACGATTTCTGCTAAACTACCGATTATTGCACCTTCAAACTTACAGCAAAATATGCCTGGTTCTAGTTCAAGAGTATTATCAAGTCCTCCTCAAGAGAAAATGAGAACGGAAGCCGCTTCAAGTCATAAATCAACCGGTAATGTTGTTGGCGATAGTTCGTCTGGTTCGGCAACGTGGCAGGGCACTTCCTCGACAAAAACACCGACGGACGATGGTGGTGGWGGGATGTGGGGATGGATGTCAAGTGCAGTTAGTGCTGGACTTCAAACGACGCAAAATATTGGAAGAAATATAGTTGAAAAGACAAAGGTAACAGCTAGGTCACGTTGTTAAAATAATTTAATTATAACGTACGAGCTGAGACAAAACGGCATTTAAAGAAATACCTGTCTGGTCTTTAAATGCGAAAATATAACTTAATAAAATTAAACATTATTGATTTTACCGTAGCAGATCTTACTGTAAATAAATCTTAAATTTAAACTAATCCAATTATCCCTCTACTTTTCCCATTCATACATAATTCAGTTGTTATTTTTTCTTTTTGTTAGTCATCTGTTGATACAGTGATCACCACACTTGACCCTGAGATGGAAGACTACTTACGTAAGCAAATATAATTGTTAAGAAATCAATAATAATTCATGACAATATGAATAAAATTCATGATGGATTTTATTTCCATAGACAATAGAGGACAAGCTATCAATCTCACACTAACAACAGAAGATATACCAACTATTGACGCAGTCAGGGATGGTTTTCGACAGGTTTTTGAGCTTGCTTTCTTCAAAGGTTGTGGGTCATCCTCTGGTATTGCTCCCATGCCATCTGGCTGCTCTGCAGGACTCAAGGGAGCTCAGCACAGGGTCTCCCACTTGAGAAGATCAAAGAAAGTTAAAGARGATGAGATAGTTGTTGGAGTAGAAGAGCTCATTGCTGAACTAGTTCCTGGAAAGTAAGTATTATTAACTATCAGTCCCTTGCATCATATTCAAAGGTGATTGTGTCTTTTTAGCAAAGCCATATGACCAGCGAGCTTTGTGGTGAGAGAATTTTTTAATGGTATCTATCTATCAGTGAATCCTTACCAGTCATCTTGCTTTTGTGAAGTGCATTGTTGCACATAAAATTTGAAGTTAAATGAACACTTTTTTATCGGAAAACCAAGATATGTTCAATATTGTAATATTTTATTAATTTTCCATTGTAGATGGTTCAGTATGTTATGTCTGTTTCTAAGTGACCCAAACCTCAAAATAGACCTACAAACTTTTTCACAAGCTGTTGAAGTTCCCAAGGAATACATAACTAAAGCAGAACAGAGCACCCCGTCAAACTACAACCTGCGTTGGTCAGGGCTATCATATACACTAGGTGAAGTMATATTAGGGRCRGGTAATTCACAAGGAGATTGGCAGAGTAAGGTTGGAGGTAAGAGTTTTCTATATTAATATTTGAATTCTCTTTATGGTGTTGTTTTCAATCTTACAAAGAGACATATTGTGGGTAGCATTAGTTTAAGAGATGTTAGTTATGAATATTTTATTTGTTTTTTTTTTATAACTCTTTTCTTTAAATCTGCTTAAATCTTTCAACAATAAAAGATATAAAACACTTGTCATGATTATTTCTATTTATAGAAATGAATTACTAATGGAAAATCTGCTTCAACTTTCTTTAAAGGTTGTTCAAGAAAGCAGATTCTTACAATGGCAGCAAGGACTTTAGCAGGACAATATAGAAATCAATGGAATGAGAAAGTAGAGTCTGTCATGGATAAAGCTGTAGTACTGTAATTCAGAAAACTACCTACAGAATTAAATACTGTAGCAACATAAAAATCATATGCAAAAAATTGCATCACGAGGGAATATTAATTTAGTAATATCTAGATTTATATTATATTCCAAACACTGAAGCCTACATTCATGAATTTTKGGGAAAATATGGAAACTGAATTATGTTCTCAAAGAAGTTAATTTCTTATGCTCAAAATCATGTGAAAGGAGACAAATTTGTTTTGGGAAAAGCATGATTTGTTTTCATATTAAAGTAAAACTGAACTACAATTATAATAATTCAGAAATGGGAGGGTCCATGTATTGTTTTTATAGTTTGTAATTAATCTTGAATATCCATACATACAGAGAATGTCAATTAATGTTGTGTAAATTAGAGTTAACAAAATTATAAAGAAATAAAACGAAATGCTACAAAAGCAAAAATAACCTATTAAAATAATTTATGGTAATTTATTATAATTTATGCAATCATTTAATTAAAACGCATTTGAACGTTTCAATTTTCTTTGTCCCTTTTTACTTTTTTTTTAGTTTAGTAAGTAAGCGTGTCTGACTTCAGTCAATAATAATGTGTTTTTTTTTTTCAAATTTTTAAAGCGTTCTGCATAAATTACATTTTCTCAATGAACAAATAAAAAACCTAAAAGGTCCGTCAAAGAAAGAATTTAGCAAATACTCGGATAATTCGTGCATCTGAGCGGTTTTTGTTCGTCAGCAACTGAGGAAATAATAAACGAAAAGAAGCAAAAAGCGTAGAAAGAATTCAATTGCGCATGCGCAAAATCACTATGTTCGATGTTTATTCTAAACGTTCAAACCGTTTTAGATCGGCCGGAATCAGTCAAATTTCCAATCACCGCTAAAACATCGTTAGTTTTCCATTTTCCTTCKCGATTTGTTTTAGAGACCAACTCTTMACTGTCATCCCACATTTGACAAAGCTAAAGGAWATGATGATTTGTGAAAGRGTACTTTATTMTTCTTTGGTAATGRACTTCTGGTTCATGCGGGAAGTGATGAATGGGGTTTTCACTTTTCTTAGTGAGACGTGTCACTCTCCTGTTACGCACGACACGTAACCCATCTGATCCCACCCAACATTATTAGTTGTTATTAATCTCCCTGATTGATGGGTTACCTGTGCATAGGCTCTGCGTCTTTATTTAAAAAAAGTGAGTTTTTCCATTGTTATATAATCATTTCTCATTCTTGCGGTTAAACAATAACGATATTGTCATAACAATTATAAATTTATTGCGAAATCTGATTAATTATTCAGCTATTTCAATAATAATAACAAATTTCCGGTATTTTATTGTTTGTTCTGGTTTTGCATTTAACTACCCTTGATTAAAATCAAGTAATTCAAAGGTTTGACTTACAACAAAGCTATTTTCATCTAGAACAGTATGACATAAAATAATAAATTTCCATAATTTATCGCAGGAAACTAGTTCTTTTACTACAGAGGTGAACTGGAGAAGTTTCGRTGAAGTTTGATCGACGCTGGCATCGGTGAAGAGKAGGTCMTTAGSTTCTAYTCCTTTCAAGAGTTTACAAGCAGATTTCGGACTAACTAGGACCTCRATTATTCTATCTTTGTCTTTAACTCGAAGGTGGATGTCCCTGAAATATTGCTTAACTGCGTAATYATAACCAGGCTTGTGATGAACGCAGTAATCACACTGGGCGTAGATCTTATTCTTATCTTGCTTCAAGGCTCGCGAACACAATGCACAGCCTACATACGTTAAACACTGAAAAATGTCCTTAAGAGCCTCGACATTATGATAATTCACCTCTAGAACCTCGTCTTCACTACRAAACGAAATACCGTCAATATGACCACGAACTTCTGCAGTGCCAGAAAACTTCGCATCAAGCAACTTTTTGATTGTCCTGAATGACTTGATGTCATCGAGCACATCGTGAAACAAACAAAGCAATGGCTTTGCTAGTTCGTTGTCGGTATCAAGTTTCTTTTTGGTCGACTTTTGTGTTGTGTGGAGAGCCACTGATCCACTTATAGAGTCGTACTTTGCTGTGAGGTACTGTAGCTCCCATACGCTACCTWCTGATTTGCGTAGACTGTCCAGCCATTCTGATTGTCTTCCCCATAGTGTGACGCGTATGTTCTCGTTCGGCGATTGTGCAAATACTGTGAAACGAGAAAAAAAGTGATTTATTTGCCTCATTAATAGCTTAGAGCCGATGAGATCTAAAACCTGTACGCGCGCAGTATCCAAACAAATTAATTCAAATAAAAAATGCACTTACCAGCGGTAATCTTGGGAAGTCTTCTTGAACCAAACTTGTATGTATTTTTCAAAGACTTGTCCGTAATTAGTGCACTCACACTCCTAAGAATCCCTCTAAAATGGACCAGTGTGTTGTTCTGTAGGTCGGAGATACGAGTGTATTTCACCACTGCTGAAGTTGGTGTCTGTCGGAARASATAGCCGTAAGATTTCCTGGCCCATTCCATCAGCTTATCAAGGCGGTCCTGTGAAATAAGCTGAAGCCAGGCATTCGCGAGTGGTTTCTGTGGTTGATGTAGGTTATAGAAGCTYGAGTTAAAGGTTGTTTGTCCTATATACTCGTYTCTCCATGTTTCAATACGAATAGAAGTCGCTACGATAATATCCCCTGMGACAATCTTCTCAGTCCATCCCGATGCTTGYCTCCATAAAGTTAGTTTGAAGTGTGATTTKGTAGAATCAGASACGATAATCGATGATAAMGKTATAAATTGTCCGGCRTTTCTACYCGATCTTATCTGGATTTCTTTTACCGGGTTTACTTGAAKGACAATAACACAAAGATTCACRAGACTCCTTACTGTACTACATTCTCCAAGATACGAAAGCTTATCGGATAYCTTAGGCAGCAAGCAGGTGCGCAAACTCGATTTCTTTTCATTTATGCGTTGACTTGAATCAAGTGASGTTTTTKTACAAATCAAAGACTCTGATGAMGACTTTGAAGGATTTAATCCTTGATCGGTGGTTGATGACGATGACGTTGGTGATTTTGAGGGATCTACGATTGTTTCATCGTTGGTTGGTCGTAAAGATGTCATTGTCGATGATGCAGATGCGGCACCCCCATCATTATTTTCCGAAGCCGAGTTTGGAGTTTGAGTGTAAACATCCTCATTTGTGAATGGATGCGTGTCATTGTAGACAAGACGCGATTTCCTGTCTTTTCTCTTTGCTCTTTGCAACCCTCCTCTTGTTAATGGAGAATCTGAAATGCTGCTCAAAAGAGCTTGACTCTCGTTATTTACCGTTTCATATTCTTTCTGCAGGTCACTCAAACTCTCCTGCTTTTCGTCTGTTGCAGCTCTTTTCACTTYAACGAAACAGCTATCGTGTGCTACCGAAAATGGACTACCTTCGGAAAATACTTGGTCTAGATAAGAATTGATTGATCCTTGCACAAGTTTAGCGTCATATTCAAGGAATATACAGCTACTTTCACTAGTGCTTGTGTCTGTATTTGTGCAGTGCAAGCTTCTTTGGACTTCCTTCTGTGTTTTGACAAATTTCTCGCCGTCAAAATGAAGTGTAGTTTTGGTCCAACTTCCGTGCGCATCTACCCCAAAAAAATTAAATTAACACATTCTGTGGGAAAAATTTGAAATAAAATACAATACAATAACAACTTCTACCTTTGTTTTCAATCCTCGCTTTCTTGTGGACCTGGTGGAAGCATATTTGAGGCGGCGCAAATACTAAAACTTTCGTAACTTCTTCRTGTTTTTTCTTCTTTTCTGCGGCCATATTTGAGCCTGCGATAAAATCAACAGCAGTTTTACAATAAAAAATGCGCAATTTTATTTAGCGCATAGATTTTATTTGAGCCCGCAGTACACGTCAACAATTCGAAAAGTGAAGTCGATTTTTATGATTTTTGCAAAATTATTTCAACGGCAACTGTTATAACCATGTCTTCAAAAAAGGGAGATGTTAGAAAGAAAGGACAAAAGTATCAGAACACRACAGCTTTTAAGAATGATTTACACGACACGAGTCGTACGACAAAGTTGATCAATAGTACAGCTGTTGCTGGTGTTTGTGCACGATGCAAGGAAACAATCGAATGGAGAAAAAAATTTAAAAAATATAAACCTCTTAAGGCTCCTAAAAAGTGGTAGGTGTTTGAGTCAAAATTCATACAGAACGAATTAGGGGCAAAGTATAGAAATAGTATGATAAATGAGAAAAATGATGAGAGTTGATTGATGATGATAAATGATGATTGATTTGATACGATTTTCATTAATTGAGTGAAGGGAATTTGACCCTAAGTGGTTGCATGTCCAATGCCATGATTCCTTTCCCCAACAACACAAGATTTTAACTTAAATACTGAGGTATTAATACCTTGATCCAGTTTGTTTGCTGTGGACAAAGCCTTTCATATCTCATAAATGGAGCTCTCTAAGCAACACACATTGTTATTATGTGGCAACATAATGAGTACATTCAAATTGTACAATGATGTCAAATTATTCCGTGGCCAATGAATCTTGTCTTTCTTSATAGCGTAAAATGTGAACAGAAAACAATCAAACATGCTTATCACACRTATTGCACAAAATGTGCTCAAGAAGGGGGCTTTTGTGAGAAGTGTGGTGAAGCCAAAGACATCGTAGCACAGTAAGTAATCAGTATATCATTTTTTAGGTATGATACTTTCTATAATTATTTATTTAAAACCATTGTAGACCTGAGCTTTCATCACAAGAGAAGGCAGCACAAGATAGTTCAGTACAGCAAGAACTTAAACTGTTAACTGARAGACAGAGAAGTATGTCATAGCATTTGAGTTATTTAAAGCAAAGTTAATGGATGGTTCCTTTGAAAACATAAAGTTGTCCTCCATGAAAACAAGTGAATAATGAAACTAGAGGGTTTTTTTGCAGGTCTTTGAGATAAATAAAAGCACTAGTGCACCCTAGGGCCATAAAAACATTACTTCCATTTGTTGGAATATGACTATTAATTGTTTCACAGTACAATGAAACCACTTTATCACACATTGATTAGCATCTCCTTTATCATTAACTAGAATTAACAAACCTACTGAAACCGTCACTAGAATGTAAACATTGTTTGCTGTGACTTAAATCCATTTTTTGTTGTAGGAACATTTATTAGACACTTAGAAAGAGGTGATAATGAAAAAGAAGCAAGCTTAAATGCAATGAAAGAGTATCATTCAGACGAAGATGATGTCAGTGATGATKCAATCAGTGATACAGATATGGACAAACAATCAGAAAAAAGCTGACAAAGGATTCAAGATTCAAATTTAATAATCATTTTAGTTATACTTTCTAAACCTGCTGAAATACAAAAAGTGTTTAAAATGGATAAAACATGAAAGATAAAATGGAAAAAAGAAAAGCCTATTTTTATGTGAAAAAGAAAAAAAAACAGCATATTTTTTCGAAAAAATAGCGTATGTAATTATCGTAGAAAAGACAAACTTGTCTGTGGTAACAATTGCACAAATTACGACTAAATGGCATTGATTGGGYAAAAGAAACAAAGGAATATGCATAATTTAGTTCCTTTTTTCATGCTGTTGAAATGTGTTCCCCTGATCCAYGTGTTGTTCCTTTGGTATAAAACTTCTGAATTTTCACAAACAATTGCTCAAAATCGCTTTGCGCAAATACTCAGCTTATTAAAAATGCTCCAATTCGATAACAACATCCTGAMGTAGTGCCATGAAAGCAAAGAGTCGCTTCAAGAACTCCCCACCAGAGGCAAGGCTCAGCATGATAACATCTTTGATTAACGCTTTGATTAAAAACATCCAGAAAAACGTCTTTCAAACAATGATGGTGATTTCAAAGTCATCAAACGACAATTTACAATATTTTAAACTTAGTCTCAAATCTACTCAATTTGCTGTCAAGATGTCTAAGAACTGTGGACATCTCCTAGAAACTCCTCTAAAAGATGCAAATCGGGAAGATATGCAAATAATAGCGATCCAAAACAAACGGCTTTTCGGCTTTGGTAGTCATTACCATTACTGTGATCAACTAAAATGTGACGCATAAAAAGGATTTTTTYCCAGTATTCACTGATGTATATAAAAAGTAGATTACCGAATGAAAAGGGTGGAAATAACGTTCGTCTCTGTCAAAAGAGCATCGGTCAGAGGGACTTGGCAGYGRGGTAAGCAGGCCATTTTAGATTAGCTACTATGGATGCTAAATCAGAATTTATCGTTCATCTAGAGTCATACGCTACTTGGATCGATTTAAAACCAATTACATTCAGTAGACTCCGCTTTTTTCTCTCTCTAAATTATGGTTAATTGTCTCCAAGTAGACAGTTGGAGAATTGTTTTATTGGTTAATCTTAAATCCAATGGTGTGCGATTGCACCAGGTCCATGGATATGACGAAGTGCATTGCTCATGCTATAAAAGTTCCAAGTTGTGATTTTTTTAGACACTTCTGTAATAAKTTCCATATTACTCTATTTCTCGGCATTGTTTTGGTTTGCCAATATATCCTATATTGAGTAAACATAGAAATATTCAACCATGGATAATAGAATGAACGCGAAATCGTACAAATGTTTAAATGATTATTGTTCATTATAAACGCCATTTATTGAATGACGCAAAATAGTACAAAATAGGCTAGTGCGATTTCACGCATTAAGCGCGTTGGAGGCTTTCCCGATCGTACTATTCACTATAACGCGCGGCTTAATAATCAAACAKAAAAACTATCGTTAGTTTAAATCATGAGACTGAACGACAAGCTGTAATTGGATGACAGTTGATGACGATGCCGGATGATAGTTGATGAACATTACAACGTCCAGAGCGGGTTTGAACTATCAACAAAAATTTTGTACGGAAGTGAATAGTACTATCCACCAGATAAAATCTATACGATATTTATGGAGTAGATGACTTAATCCGGTGGATACCTTTGCGTATTTTCACTGGATTTCAAAATAGTAATAACAATTAAAGGCGCGCAGAGGATTCACTATTGTAATATGCAATGTGCTTATTATATTGATATCTTAGAAACGCTTTGATTTAATATGATTGGGTTACTTTAAATATTATTACTAAGAACTCTTATAATTATGACATGTATGATGCGGACAGGGGAAACTAAGCTCACCCGCAAAGATAGAATATCCCAGGGGACAACAATATGGACAAAGAGCAAATTTCTTTTCTTAGAATTGTTTTTTCTGTTACATCATTTCCAAAAATATCTAAAMTTGTTTTGCTGTAATTTGATATTCATTGAAAAAGGTTCACGTACAGTTTTTATGACCGATTTATATCATAAAATCATTTCAAACTTTCCTTTATTCAAAAAAGCAAAAATTTCTTTTTCGGACCAATAATATGATTGCAGCTTAACTACAAATGTTCGCGAGTTGTCGTGAATTATTCTCATACATACGATGCATTATTTTCATAATACTAATTTTTAACATAAACGCATTCAGTCTTCGCTAAGCCGTGAAAATCTCAATGCTGTCCCAGWAAACAGCCACCCGCTCCAGACCAACCATCAAGGCTATTAGCCAATTATGATACAGTAACTAGCCAATCACAATCAAGCATTTATAGCGTCTACTTGTGGCCCAAAGCAGGTTTGCAAAACCAACCAAACTGCAGCCAACGAATAACTCGGTGCAAAATTAGGTGTGTTTTAGAAAGACGCTGTAAGTTTCTTCGGTTTGGTTCTACAAAATGCCGATTCCGGAGCGGAGAACGRGTTCACAAGGTAAAARTATYTCTCTTTTCCATTTTCTTTCCAACTATCGTCATGATCGTTCAATGTTGCAGTTTTCAGAAAGYAAGAAACCGARTTTGACTTCGAGGTCTCAATTGACATCAAATCATCGAGTCGTTCTCTTTTCCAAACTCGTTTAAAAACAATATTTGATTGTTGTCACTATTATGAATTAGTTTGCCTTCAGAAAAATATATGAAACATGTACAAAACAAAGAACTACAACATCTATCATAAAAAATAGAAATATTTATATTCAATGAGTTCAACCTTGTTAATTTTTTTCCCGATTCTTGTTTTTTTTCTTTCKATTCCAAKCATTTTCACAAATGGGCCACAGTACCACAAAAGGAGAGTGAAGTTTATCTGTAAACGACAACTTATACATAATGTATTTATTTTTTCAGTAAAAACTGCGGCTAAGGATGTCTTCACCTCCGGAAGCTCAGAGTCAAGTAAGTTCATAAGATCTAGACCAAGACTATTTAGGGCGAGCTCTTGAGACTGAAAAATCACTGTAAATACGAGCACAATTTACCCCACTAAAACGGGCAATTGAGAAAATCCGAACGATAACAACATTGACATATTGATACACTYGTCTCTTAGGACGCGAACATTCAGTAAGTCCACTAAACCGGTCACTAAGAATACTTCATATAAATACCCTCTACTAAATCGGGCATTCACGAGACAAACCGAACCACTCCAAACTTAATCATTGGAAAAGAAAAAAGAAAAAAAAAACAAGAAAAAAAAAAAAACAACAACTGCACTTATAGCTGACGATTCTTTCAGGCAGCGGCTTTCAGAAAGCTGGTAAGTTTGTGCTGTCATCSAAGTTATGGGAGCACTCCTCACCATCCAAGACCTGYGAYGTRGTGYTGACGTTCCCTAAGGACACCGAAGACTATGTAGTGATGTGGCTGCTGTCCAGACTGMGGGCTCGTGTTCCTGAATTGGACGTCCACGTTAGACAAATGGCAAACTCTCCAGTCTACGCGTTTTTCTTCTCAGCGTCCTATGAGGTAATCAATGTGGGATAATCTTTTCGTGGATTACTTCAACTTGAGCATGCGCAGAATATCGTCTGAGTTTTGTTATTCTGGTGTATGCTATGAAGATTGCAAAGTTTATCTTAATGAAATAATACAATCGTAGCGTATAAGACCTATAGCCTAGATTTGAAGGATATTTTTAAAAACCTCTTTACTGCATGTCCAGGTGTACATGAAATGGGCCGAGGAACTGGGCTTCAGGAAGAAGCTGATTGGTGGAGGAATGGTTGATTTCAAAGTTGACGAAAAAGAGTGTTTCGAGAACCATGACGACCCTACCAAGTTCTTCACTTCAGGTGACAAGCAGACTATCGTCCTGGAAATGGTGAATGGACTGCGAGCTGTGGATGGAGATGAACTGGGAAAAATCAAGTTCTGTGAAGGAATGCAAATAGGTAAACTGAATTCTCAACTCACTACCTCTGGTATTATAACTTGATAATCCTTTTCACAAATTAGATGCATGTTTTRGTATTAATAAASCAGTAACTCATTCATTCCAGTGCCMAGATTGTTGTCAGAGGARGTTGTCGAGAAGCTGTTTCCACTCCATCACGAGGACGATTTGGTGAAACTGAGAAAGACCTGGGTCAAAGCGTTCAACAAACCTCAACCACTCGGTAAGAATATCACAAAGCAAAACCTCTAACAGAAAAACTATACTACAAAGAGAGTACATACTTTGAATATGATGGCAGTAGTGATGATAATTTTCCTGATRATATGATGCAAACTGCAATGATGATGATATTTCAGATGACATCTGTCAATACTTTGGAGTCAAAATCGCCATGTACTTCGCTTGGCTTGGGATGTACACCAAATGGCTYGTTGCGCCYGCATTTCTTGGTATTGTAACATTCATCTTGAGCATGCGYGGTGAGGTGACACGTGACTGGTGCATGTTGGCGTTCAACATCTTTAACATCGTCTGGGCAACGTTGTATTTGGAGGCCTGGAAACGAAGGAGCGCAGAGCTTGCATACAAATGGGGCACCATGGACATGCCCTCAGAGGCCCTCAAGGACCCACGACCATTGTTCAGGGTAGGTCTTTATTTATTATTTGACATATCAAAACTTGTGATGATAATACTTTGTCTTTTTCCTTCAAGGGTGAATACAAGCTTAGCGACATAACTGGCCGTCTTGAACCACACTACCCATCAATCAAAAGGAATATTTTCCGTTACTGTGTTTCTCTGCCTGCGATCCTGGCGTCTTTGGGTGTTGTTGTCATATCTATGCTGTTTTGCTTCGAGTTTCAGCGCTGGGTGGATAACATGGAGAACCCTCCAAAACCTCTCAAATTTGCCCCAAAGATTCTTCTAGCAGTTTGTATTGGACAACTTGATGATAACTACAAAAAACTTGCTTATAAACTCAATGACAAAGGTACAATRAAGGTCTCAACGTCTGCAAAACTTTGATTATTTAARTATGATGTCTTGAGCTGAGTTTGCGTACTCTTTTCAGAGAACTACCGCTTGCAAGAATCCTACGAAAACCATCTTATCATCAAACTTGTTTCGGTGCGTAAAACATTCAGATATGAAATGATATTTGTTTTTTTTTTATGTTACTAATATTATGACCTGTTTCAGTTCCAATTTTTCAACGCTTTCCTATCGCTGTTCTACATCGCATTYTATCTCCAAGACTTCCCAAGACTCAAGAATGTAAGTACAGTTTAACGGTTTTATTTACAAGTACAGTTTCACGGCCTTATTTACCATATTTTACCATATAAAGCTAGTGTTTACAGCAGGCGTTGCAAGTGTTTGCACTACACATGCACTCAACTTACAAAGCATTGTATAAAAATTAATTTTCTCTTGTGGGCATGTTTCAATCCCAATTTTTGAATATGTTTCATTGACAAAACTGAAAACAATTCTTCCAGACTCTTGCTGCTCTTCTCATCACAAAACAAGTTGTTGGTAATGTCAAAGAGGCACTAGTGCCATTCGTCAAGCAGAAAGTCAAGGAATGGAAACAAAAGAAGAAGCTGGAAAAGGAAAAGAAAGAGTTGGAAAAGAAAGGCGTTAAACCTGATGTTAACAAGAACAAGGAATTGGACACTCCTCTCATGAACCAAGCAGAAATTGAAAGCAACATGCCCGAGTATGAGGTAGGGATGACAGCAACGAAACGGAACACAATATAACAAACAGAGCAGGGAAGGACTGAATGGCATATGATACAGAATAATTTAGGAAGGATATCAGTGTTTGTCGAATCTTTTTTCTTCTCTGTTTTTTCATTTCCCTTTCATTCTCCCATCCCTTTATGATACTGCTATCTTCATCCCTTTTTTCATCCCTTTGGTTTCTATAGTTAAAGAGAGAGAATGCACCAACCATGGGCAAGAGAACCACACTAGTATCCAAAACAACATCATTACTAATTTTCACATATCGTCTTTGTCTAGGACACCTTCGAAGATTACCTAGAGATGTTYATCCAGTTTGGCTATGTCGTTCTTTTCTCGTCCGCATTCCCTTTGGCTGCCTTGTGCGCTTTGTTGAACAACGTTGTCGAAATCCGCAGCGATGCTTTCAAACTTTGCACCAACCTCAGGAGACCTTTTGGTGAGAAAGTGGAAAACATCGGAACATGGCAGGTAAAGATATGTYAACCAGTGAACTTTCYACTGCAAATCGGTTAAAATTTGATATTATACATGYATGAAACTAAGAAAGGATGCAGTCATCCTGTGTGAATCGAGTGATTTACTGGCGTGATTTCTTTCATAATAAACAACTGTTTTAGAGGTTATTTTGCGTTCTTCATGTCTAGGATGCAATGGAGGTGATGGGTGTGGTCGCTGTAATGGTCAATCTTGCCCTGCTTGGTACTGGTGGRTCTTTGAACAGGATGTTCCCTAACATGACAACAGCACAGAGAATACTTCTCATCGTCATCCTAGAGGTGAGACTRGTTATAAATGCCTTTTTCATTTATTTTTTACAGTCCCTGCTGATRAATTTCTGTACCCACCCCAGGTTACGAACCCTTCTATATTGCARATTCCCTTCCAATGATCCAACGATGRTCTAAAAGGATGAAAACACTAATRTTTTTWCCTTCTTTTAGCATGTCGTCCTGGCCATCAAGTTTGCCGTTGCCTATGCCATTCCTGACGTTCCTGAATGGGTCGAGACTGAAATCGCTAAGGTTGAATTCCAACGACGTCAGGCACTCAAGGTAATTCCACGACAATGCGCATGTTCAGAAATAGTCCTGTTCTTACACACAAGTTGTTTTTATACGAAAAGTTTTACTTGTCTCGAAAGATATTTTCTTGTTACAAAGCAACGAACGAAACGAAAAGATAATGAAACGCATAGTTACACTGTAATTGGAGGATTGAATTTCACGGATAAGGCGTGCAGTAACCATGATTATTTATRTTTTTTCTAGGGTAAGGAGGCTCCCGCACCACAGAGCCCACCACCAAGCCCAGAAAAAGAGGCCAGCAAGGAAGAGCCTGCAACGTCAGTTTGACATGGTTTTGGCATAGAAGAATACGACGTCGGAGAGAAAGAATGGATTATGGAATACTTTGTTTGATAGCAAGTAGTCAAGAGAATGTATTTGCAACTTTAGGGCCGATTATTTCATGTAATTGGCAGAATAATTACACAAGAACTGGGTTATATAGGATTTGTTCTTCAAATATCATTACCCGACTATTTCAATTTTTAATTGCACTTTATATATTTAGTTAGCGAAACAAATTGGTTATTTCAAATTTGAAATAACGACGAAACGCATTATACAATTGGTAGCGGTTTTCTCTTTAACTACAAAAAGACGCGAAAGAAACCATAAGAACATGGAGACAAAAGTTATTTGACTGTGTACCTTGTTAAACTGAAAGGGACTTAAATCAATACTGAAGATTTTAATGAAAATCTACAATTSGCACCAAACACTGGTGAATTGGAAAAAYTATCGAGAGATACATTGAAACAAATAATAAACAAACAAAAACGACGTAAAAATGTATGAAGCTTGGAACAAATAGGAAACAAACAAGTTAATTGATACATAGACAAACACGTGTTATTACAACAAAACAACAAGGACATCAGTTTTTACGAATGAAATAAACTTCAACCGCAAATAGGAATGAAGTTTGGGACAATCCAACTAGCAAATATACACATATCGCGAATGGTACAACAGCGATTTATACTGGCTACAGGTATCGCCGCGACTACAACGAAAATGACTTACATATGCATGAAGACATACAAAAGGAAGCAATGGCCGAAATGACAACGAGCGAAAAGAGAGCGCTGAAGGACACAAAGAGTCGTACTCAGTCTTCGGTAGGAAAGTTTTTAAACTTATAATGGCAGCTTGACTGCACTGAGCTATATCGCACTTACAAACGTTWTACTTCTACAATACACTAAGAAAGACCTACAACTAATAAGACATTCCAAACCTGAATATTGACCATCAAGAAAAATGCTGGAATTTAATAAGAAAACTGTTGCTAATTGTTTATAGGAGTTTTATCTTATTCTGAATGGTGGCTCGTTACTGTAAACGTCGTTTATGAAAAGGCGGGAAGCACTTGAATAGCTTCTCTGTCTGACCAATAAGAGAGCTTCATGAGAGTGACACTTGTCAATCAAATACGCGGTCGTGAACTACTTCTAAAGCTGCCAAAAAACACTCACTTCAATTTATAATGTAAAGTTTTTAATCATTATTCAATATTAAAATTTTGCACTATATTCTCTGTGTCGTTCTTCAATGGAAATTGCTTTTAGATTTCACAAAGATTATTTGCGCATCAATCACACAATTTAATGCGTAATTATACACATAGTAACTTAACGCACACATCTAATACACCTAGAGCTTAGACAATTAAATCTTAATAGGTTAATAACGAAAGGGTTTTCTTCTTTGGCTCGTTTACAGGTTAATCCAGTCCAAACCTCCTTTCCACTCGCTCTAGGACTCGCAGGGAAGAATAAAATTATCTTGCTTGCGCATGTACACGAGCCTGTAAGTGAACGAGCCAATCAGATGTGGCGAAAGATCGTGACCCAGGACACGAGCATGTATGCATGTGAACGAGCCAATCAGATGTGGCGAAAGATCGTGTCTCAGGAAGGACCGCGGCGGAATTCACAACCTTCCTTTCTTTTCTTGTTTGTTTTATTAGTCAGCTTTTGTCCGCATTAAGCCTGACGCAGTAAATTATTCAGACTTTCGCGTCAGTGTCCGCTTAGAAATATTAGCGAGCAGTAGCTATTGTAAGCTCAGACTGTTGTTAAACTTTCAACCAAACTGCGACAGAAAAGAACAGTGTCGTTTTCATCAGTCTTTCTAAAATCTCGTTGGAAATTGTACATGATACAWGGTCAATATCCTGACATGCGCAGACAAGGTATTCTTGACTTCCATTCACCAAGAACTGAAGCAGGTCGAAAGGAGGTCAGGACTGGACTACAGGTGAGTCATGACAGTTAGCACACCGACTTTAGTGAAAATATTAACAATAATATACAAAAATAATTCATCTATAGTGTTTCGTGTGAATAGCAGTGGTCTCCATGACCCGTGAAATACAATTTATCGCGCTACGTTTCGCCTCTCTTCATTTTGTATGTTATTTTCTTTGTCGTTTCGGTGTATAACACGCTATTACACAATAGACTTCTGAACCTTTTACGTCACTACTTGATTTTCAATGCATTGTGGAATCAGTTTCTAAAAAAAGAAAAGAAATCCGCCATGTTCTGTCCCAAACATATCCTCTAAAATGCATTATTTGCATATACAGTACATGATGTAAAACCTTCAGAGGTCTTTGCACTGTTTTTGATGGGTTTATGAAAACCACTCTACAATGTTTACATAAMTTGTTTATGTAGAATTAAGTACGTATCTTATCAATCCACCACTGCGCATTTCCTTGATTCTGCCAGTATGTCGTAGGATTGTCAGTATAGAACGACCAGCCTTGTCAAGCTTAAGACTTGAATAATTCTTAATATCATCATCAATCACAAAGAACTGACCTGAAAGAGAATTGAAGTAATTGTTGAAAAAACTGAGARGTGGAGAAATAGATGGGAAAAGGAAAAGAAATTAATGAAAAATTATCACCTTTGGTGTCATCAGTTTCTGCGTCTTTGAAAGCCTGAAGTGATCAAAAGGAATCATTAGCCTTCATAATACTAAGATTACATTATCTTTTGAATAAACATCTGAGTGAAGTAGTCGACGTGTGCAACAACAATTTATAATCATATTTATTGAGTAAGACACGAATAACTATTTTGAAAACCCCTGAAAAAATATGTAGGCATTACAGTTATTACTGCAATAAATTGATAATATATTAATAATTATCATCAGTAATCCCCTTAACATTTTCCTGAGTCATTTTAAAAGCTATATGTAACATTGTATRCTGCAAAGACTATCTAGAGAGTTCCTACTTTGTATTTCTTCATGACATGTTCTCCCATCTTTGACCTCGGAAGGCTAAGTATCTTGTACTTCTCCTTGAAGACATCATTGAGTCCATCAATGGTATTGTTGACTTGACTGTACGATATTCGACCTTTGATGTATCTAGAGAGACAGATATTTTAAGATAGAGAGATGTTTAAATTGCACAACTACAAACTGCAATATTTGCACAATCCTGAGAATTCTGCTGTACTGTACAATGCATGTTCTATTCAAAATGTTATTAAATCCAGTTTTTCTTCTTACTTTGGAACTTTTCCAAAATCATCAACAGTAATATATTGTAGCTTGGGATGGTTCGCATCTGCGTTGGATGTGTTTGCTTTAGAGCGCTTTACTGGTTTGTTTTCTTCATTGGAAGAGTTGGCAGGCTTTTTCAATGTTGCCTTTCGCTTCTCTTCTCTGAAATAAACATCAAGAGAAGCATTAGGGGTATGAACTGAGGCCAATACCAGGGATTGTTACATCCTCACGTCACTCCAGACAGATTAATAGTGATTAATGCAAGAGACAAGGCCTTCAGTTTAACACATATATCCAAAAAGAGTTAATAATCCAACCATTTGTAGAAAAAATAGTTAATAATCCAACCATTTGTAGAGACAAAGACCCTAAGGAATGTTCCAGTCAGRGATTTTAGGCATTTCTTCTCATGATGCCACCAGCTCAGATTCCTAAATGATGTGCAGTTACTAAAACAATATTATTTATAGGAATAAAGTATTAGCAGACCTGGTAGATGGCTTGGTAGGTAGATGGCTTGGTAGGTTAGTAGACATATGYGTAACACMCTCTTGATATTGCTGAACAACACCTAACAGTGCCTGAAAGTAAACAGACTTTTTAGTTTTAAATAAAAAATAAGCTTGCAACAATACACGTACATTTAGATAGCATTACAAACTTACTTTTCCTCTGTCTAGCTGCTTTTTTTCTACTTCGTTTATTTCCTTGAGTTTTTGCAGTAACAGTTCTATCTCAGTTACTTCGTTGTTGATGGCCTTGAGATCAGCGAGACAAGCCGGTGATTGTGCTAAAGGAGAATTAGTGTGCAWAAAATGAGTGCGATTTCGATTATAAGCTTATTTTGGTRTGGGAAAAGTATCACGTAGTATAATTACCGGAATTCTGTAGCTCCATGCACTGTTTTAAAGCTTCTGTCTTGGCAGAAAACTTCTCAACAAGATCAACCAAAGTCGACGCCATTTTGATTTGACCGCCAAAACTGCACCGCTGACCGRTGCACAGGGAACCCACGTTATAATCAAATGCATAAGACAAGCGCTGGAGGGCGGTGAGACGCTATGCCATCCTTCASAAGGATACATCTTCGGAAGCCTTTCCGACGAACCGACTCCGAACCCGACGACTTGGATCCGATAGTTTCCGAACGTTTTCTCGTTCTTTTTCACTTGCTATCCAATATTTATCGTTTCCTGACATTAACCATTAATAAAAATGAAGTTCTTGCTTAACAATTGAACACTTTTATCATGTAAATCGAGCGACGAAAGCTTATTGCGAAAGATGTCCTTTTCACGGATGGCCGCGCTAGGTATACAATAACACTAGGTAGACTATTATACTGTATCGCACACGGTACACTATCGCACTATAGGTAGACTATTATACTGTACCGCACACGGTACACTATCGAACTAGGTAGACTACGATACTGTACCGCACTAGGTACACTATCGCACTAGGTAGACTATTATACTGTACCGGACACGGTACACTATCGCACTAGGTAGACTATGATACTGTACCGTACGCGGTACACTATCGCACTAGGTAGACTATGATACTGTACCGCACACGGTACACTATCGCACTAGGTAGACAATGATACTGTAACGCACACGGTACATTATCCCACTAGGTAGACTATGATACTGTACCGCACACGGTACTCTGTCGCACTAGGTAGACTATGATACTGTACCGCACACGGTACACTATCGCACTAGGTAGACTAT